ATTAATTAGTGGTTTTCCCATGGTTAAAAATAAGAGAAATAATTATCTCCTGTTTTATCCTAATAAGCTTAACTGTGTTAGGTTGATCAATCCTGGTTTTCTACATTGAAGAAAAGTGAGCATTCATTATTTCAACACAACAGTCTTTCCCATGGGACACATAGTGTTTGTTTTTATTACATTTACTTACTAGTAAGGAAAGAATTATGAGACATTAGAAAATGCAGGTGATGTATCAACAGGCCGCCGTTGGATTTTTATCCTAAAAGACAGTTTGAATTCCTTCCTATGACTTTGTATAGTCTGTGCATTTTTAAGAATAGGATAGGAAGTGACATTTTAATAAAGCATTCAGACAGAATGACAGGAGGAAAAGAGAAATATTTTCACTGACAACCAGTTTTATCTTAGGAAATTAAGTCAAGAAGAGTATGAGCGACAAGAAATAGAGAAGAGGCTATCAGCTGCTGATGAAAAGGCAGGTTCGGCTGCAGAGGAAGTAAAAACTTACAAGTAAGTTCTCCCTCAAAAGACAGCGTCACTGGCTAATGAAACTAGGGGGTTTTTTTTTGGCACAAAAGCATAAATAAATGGTTAGAGGACATGAATACATAAATTCACACAAAAGAAAACTAAATTTTAAGTTAACAATAGGAAAAATATTAACAAATACCCAGTGCTGGCAAAACTGTAAGGGAACTTGATTCATGCAAACAGTTCTGGGGGTAGGGGCGGGGAGGGGGGCAGTTTGTTGTATGATGTATCAAAAGCCATTAAGTTGATTTTGCCATTTGATAGACCCAGTAGTCCTAAATTTGGGAATTTTTCTATGATGTAGTTAAAGGATGAAAAAAGGAAAAAAAAGGGTTTATAGTGGAAGATAACAGGATTATTTGAGAAACATTTAGGAACAGTTAAAGTAGCTCTATCAGGGTACAGTTGTTAGGGTAAGTGTTAACATAGCCATATTGTTTGGGTTTTTATTTGGTTGTGCTTTAACTCATAAAGCCAAGTGTAATTCTTAGGCGGAGAATAGAAGACATGGAGAATGAGTTACAGAAAACAGAGCGATTATTTAAAAACCAGGTAATTATTCTAGTCTCCCATTTACTGCGCAGAATTCTTTGATCATTAATACAGGTTATTATAATGAATCTGTAAGCATATTTTGTGATGTATTATCTTTTTCAGATCGCTACCCATGAGAAGAAAGCTCATGAAAACTGGGTAAGATTTCTTTTTTCTTTCCTTTACTTGGTGCATAGTCTCCTAGAACTTAATTTGAATATATTTCTTCAATAGCTCAAAGCTCGTGCTGCAGAAAGAGCTATAGCTGAAGAGAAAAGTGAAGCTACGAACTTGAGACACAAGTATGTGATTTTGATGCCTATGTTTTCAGTGTTAGCTCTTAAGGAATAGATTTGTTTCATATTTAAGTCTTTCTTAAGTACTCTTTCTCTATATTCAAGATTATTAGAATTAACACAAAAGATGGAAATGCTGCAAAAAGAACCTGTGACTGTAAAACCAATGC